CCAACAAAAAACTTTAGTTAATAAATAAAATCAGATTATTTACTATTTCTTCCCACTATTTCTTTTTTTTTCGATCGAAGGGGCCACACGGCCCCATTTTCATTATGAAAATGGAGTTGTTTACAAGGCATCAAACCACCATTACATCACTGATCTAGAAGCCACATCAGGATGCTCCAGCCTATCCAGCCTAATCATCACACCACTGATATATCACCACATTAGGATGCTTCAAACTGTCCAAAACTAGCCATGGAAGGGCCTAGTGCGACGCTAGCTACAAAGGTATCAGCAGACTAAATGACAATAACCAAATTAACATAAATGCTTTGAAGCCAGCAAGCATTTCCAGCGGCTAGCTTCACAAAATTCTTCTCACATGCGGCGCCAAACCATGCCCTCCTCTGAAGATATCACGAGTCACCCTCACGATACGCCTAGACACCTGATGAAGCATGCTTTGCACCCCTCTTTTCTGCAGATTTTTCCATGAGTCAAGTAGGGAACATACAAGAAAGATAATGTCAGTAGGATCTCTAAGCATAACACTTTGAAAACAGGATTTGTTCCTGTTTTTCCATATAGACCACAAGAGAGCAGCACTACCCAATAAAACAACTACTCTATCTTTGCCAGTATAGCTAGACAACCAGTTCTGGCATAAGTCAAAAAAAGACATTGGAGCTCTCTGGCTCCCTAGAGCACATCCCACAATATTCCACATGAACTTAGCCAAGGAACAAGAGAAAAATAAATGATTCACACTCTCTTCACAGTCACAAAATTCACAAAACTTAGCACCTTTCCAGCCTTTTTTATTCAGATTGTCCTTGGTCAGAATCCTATTTTTGACTACTAACCAAGAGAATGCCTTAACTTTAAGAGGCATCTTCATCCTCCATAGCTTTTTAAAAGGGAAAACGACTTGTCTAGCTATAAGATGGTGATACAGAGATTTAACGGAAAAGCTACCGGAGTTTGTAAGTAGCCATTTAACTTTGTCAGGCTTATCCGACAAAATCTCCTGACCACACATATCAAGTAACTTATTCCACATATCAAGAGTCTTCCCATGTAAACATCTTCTGAACCTAATGCAATTAAACATATCAATTGTTCCCACTATTTCCTTGGACAACAATTTTGAATTCAACATATGCACCACTTATATATGCACCCACATGAGTGCGCTTCAATCTCATACTAAAATATACAAATCATATATACCTAAATAGTTGATCTCCGACATATATATTTCTCTCGACACACATGCTAACTCACTGATATGTCTCAAACGTATCTATAATTTTTGATTGTTTCACGCTATTATTTTATCACTTTTATATGTTTTTATATCATTTTATATTATTTTTTTGGACTAACATATTAACTTAGTGCACAGTGCTAGTTCCTGTTTTTTTTTGCTTATTGTTGGTTTCGCAAAAAATAATTATCTAGGAAGGTCCAAATATATATGATGCCAATTTTGATCATCTTTTCTTACCAGAAGGAACATTAGAAGCTTCAGAAGACATCGAGGGGACCCACGAGGAACCAACATGGCCACATGGTGCAGACAGGTGGTGGTCGCACCACCTATCCATGTGGCCCCCCTAAGCCTCCGCTTGACCTAATTCTTCTACCTATAAATCCTATAAATCTCGAAGCCATTCATGAGCCATCCAGAAAAGAAAATAGTGTCACTGTAAGCCTCTGTTCCGAAGCGATCCCATTTGGAGCCCTGTTCCGGAGCTCCGCCAGAGGGGGAACCATTGCCGGAGGCTTCTTCATCAACCTTGCTACCTTCATGATGACACGTATTGAATTGTTGCCACTAAGGATAAAATGACAGGGAATTATCTTATTGCTATATTTCTTTCTGTCTACATTATGTCATCTTGCTTATTGCGTTGCTCTATTTTTTATTAAACTTAATATGTTGGATGCAAGCTGGATAGCGGTTTTGAGGTGGAGTAATAGTAGTAGATGCAGTTGGATAACAGTCTACTTATCACGGACGTAATGCCTATACAAGATTATGACATGAATGATCATCATTATAAATTGCTGCTTTTTGTCTACTGCCCAACAGTAATTTGTCTACCACGCCACTACTTGCTTTAGAGAGAGATGTCACTAGTAAATCTATGCCCCCTAGGTCAATTCTCTATTATTGCTTACGTTTACACAATTGCGCTTTTATTATCTTTTATTATTTTTCCATTTTTCCATACCATTATCTATCACTGTTTGCTTCTAATCTTGCAACTAGCAAGATGTAGATGCTGCTTATCTTGTTAGTTTGTTAACTCCTATTGGTTCGATTAAACCTTGGTTCTTAACTAAGAGAAATACTTTCTGCTGTTGTGCTCTATCATATTTCTTTGGGGAAATTCAACAACTCCTATGGGAGTAGCACTCACCACACAAGCCATGTCAACAATTATTTAATGTTTCCTATTTTTTAGTTGCATGCTCCATCCCACTATCTACCTATTTTCATATCCATGCCACTCATCCACACCAGTAAGTCATGCATGTTTGCCATGACATCAATATGCCATATCATCATAGTTAATCATCACTATATGACATCAGACACGATGTGAAGATGGTGAAAATGTGAGATTTTGGGAAGATTGGTAGATAAGAGATAAAGCTCTTATAACATACATTTTGATAAGAACATATCTTTAGTTGGATTCTTTTCTAAAGGACTTGGCCAAGTACAATTTAGAAGGACTCTATTTGGATTTATGGAACCACACCAGTGAAGTTTGTGATGGTGTGATCTCGACTAGTCAAAAATATTCTATCATTTGGACACTAGCTAAAAAAGGGTTTTACTCTGTGAAATATGATTATAGTTTTTTGATAGAAAATGGGATGAAATACCCACACGCTTCTTTTGGAAAGCTAAAATGCCGCATAGAGTTAAGGTCTTTATGTAGTTAGTTCTTATGATATCATTTTGACCAAGCATAACATCATTAGAAGAGGATGAATTGAGGATACGAAATGTCCCTATTGTGAAAAAGATGAATCCATTTACCACTTGTTTTTGCAGCGCTCTATTTCAAAACTGATATGGAACGATTATGAAATGTGCTTTTGACGTTCATGATATACCTCATGATGTATATGATCTTTTAACCTTTGGATTACAAAGTTTAATAAGTTTGGTAAAATTTTGGTTATGGTCGGTATTTTTGCAATCTTCTGGACTATATAGAAATTTAGAAATAACATTGTTTTAAAACTAACAAGGTATCTAATCCTTGTATTCCTCTAAACCTGATAATAAAATGGTTGCATGATTGAAACAATTTTGTAAATAAACCCATAAAGACAAAGAACAATGAAGTGGGGCCTAAGAATGGTTGAGCTAATTGCAAGTGAGGTCTTCAAAGCAGCGCATGGATAGAGTTTTGGGGCCAGCAGAATCATGGTTGGCTGATGTTGAAGTCTTACTCCTTGGTCTATGTTGTTGCTAACTTGATATGGTGCCTTTTACTTTTGGTCCTGTTATTAGGCCCTTCCCAGTGCTCCACGGTGTACAGGTGCTAAGGATGCCACATAGGCAGAAAAATGATGTGGCAAAGCAATTAAAGAGGAGAGAGAGGATTATGATGACCCCAACAAAAACCAATGCTAAGCACGTGAACCTAGACAAAAAGACTACCAACCAATACATGAATGAGTTTTATTACTAAACAATTAAATAGAGAAGGCTTAGCTACAAAACCTAAGCACCGATGCATTGGGGACAATAGTTGCTAAGCATTTTAATGCACTTAGCACCCCACTTTAGCACCAATGCATTGAGAGAGGTCTTATATGTACTATTGACTCTTAAAACACTCTCTTTAAGTAAGTGGTTGCTTTAGTTAGTCAATACTTGGAGATCTGGCTTTTAGACTCCCAGGGTTTGATGGAGTTGGTTGGTTGTTGGGTATTAATCTGCCTATTGATCCCTTGTGATCTTTGGGTATTGGTGGGAATTACTCCCTCTTTTGCCCCTACATCATACATCGTAGTTTGGTCCCATTATTTTCATGTCTAGTCGGTTCTATAGCTGTAAGAAAGACATTGCGGTTTCTAGCACGCCACGACTAGAGCACCTCTGGCCTTGGCACACCCGCCTCTGAGTATGCCACGACTAGAGCACCACTTGCCTTGGCCCACGCGCACCTGTGCGACACCTCATCTCTGACCATCGGAGTCGGAGCCGAGACCTACGACGATAGGAGACCCAAATCGGAATAGGACTGTCACAATAGGGGGAGAATCATGTGAGGACGGAGCATCACCATTATCGAGGAACCACTCCCTCACTAATCATGAAGGCCTCCCACGCAGATCGTGTTTTGTCATCTGTGTTGTGATATCAATTGTTCCGCATGACAGACACGTTTTGGCATGTTAGTTCTGTGAAGCTTTAGTGTTCCTGGGATCGATTCTATGTAGAGGCTAGTGGATATGGTTAGATCCATATTGTGTCGATCCCGGGGTGCTACAGCTTTGCTCTGGCAGATATGGCCGCTGGCGGCGGCGGCGGCAGGTGAGGAAGTGGCTGAGGAGAGCCGTGGTAGGGGGTGGCGCCGCCACCCGGGTCGCCCGCGGGGGATGGGGCAAGGTTGGGGGGGGGGGAGTCCTAACTACTCTCGCATGTTGAGATTATAGCTTCATACTCAAAAGAGAAGCACCCATACCACAAGGTGACAAAATGAGAATAACACAGAAGCAGAAGAGTTGTAAAACAGGCACGATTGAGTTAACTCTCGGAAGCATGATAGATGGTGCAATGGATGAGTTGAGTATGGATAAACTGAGGACCAGATAGAAACAACAAAACAACAATTGATCAGTTACACTCAAATTCTCCAAATATTCTGATGCAAATCACGAAAGAAACAGGCTGCACGCAGGACACCCCAGCCGCACATTCATGCACCGATGCATGTACGCAGTCCCACGAGTGCACGATATATCGTCGAGCCTTACTTTGGCTTGAAGGACCGGAGCTCCCAGCGCATTGTCCCAAGGATGCCCCACACGACCGCGTCGTACTGCGGCGACTCGGCGCCGGAGCCCGTCACGGCGACCACCAGCTGGTAGATGAACCCGTCGCTCGACGGCTGGGTCCGGCAGCTGACGACTTTCACGAAGACCAGGTCTACCTCCACATGGAGGGCGTGGATGCGGACGGCGAACTGCCCGACCTGCTTGATCGACTGAACGTTCACGTTTGCCACGGGCGTCCACGCCGGCGGTGGAGGTGGTGGCGGGGACGCCTGCGGTGGAGGTGGCGGGGAGGACACGGGCGTCCACGCCGGTGGTGGAGGTGGCGGCGGGGACAGGGGCGTCAACGCCGGTGGCGGCGGCGTGGACACTGACGACCACTCCGGTGTTGGAGGTGGCGGTGGGAACACGGGTGTCCAAGCCGGCGTCGGATACGTAGCTAGGCTTGGTGACGGCACGGCGGCCGTGTCGGTTTCGGCATGGGCGATGGCAATGAAGGTGGCGAGTAGGAGCGGGAGGAGTACATGGAGTGACGGCCTCATGTCCATCGAGTATACTCTGTTTGGCACGGCTACGGCAGTGTGGATGCACACTGGCTGGCTAGAGCGCGTACCGTACTCGAGACAGAAAAAAGGCCTAGAATGGGACGTGCTGGAGTTGGAAAGATCACTTCACTTGTGCCCCATTTATAGCATGGGGCTACGTACGTTTTCACAAAATGGCTAGCTAGAACGTACTACGTACTCCACGTACGAATACCAGTGAGTGAACACGAGGACTTCGAGCGTCTCTGGCTGATCAAGTAGTAAGTTATTTTTGTTACAAACTTAATAATTAGCTTTTGGGCATCGATCTCTGATCTATCTCTGCAACTGGGGAGTTTTTGAGAAACGTACAGCGCCAGCTGGAAGTAAGACAAACGCGGTTGATCAATCGACATGCATACAACGAGAAGCCCCATGCACTGCGCGCGATAGTCTACGGCCGGGCTGAACTGCAGAGGTGGGATCGAGGCGATTGACCTGCTCCGCTCTGCTCAGTCAGGTCAGCGACCAATATTTTGCGAGAAATGCACTACCCCATATGCCACCACGCGCACATCACATATACTCCACTTGGGTATTATGCACCGCCATGATAAAAAAAGGAAGGAACTGCAAGGTGGCCAGCAACTTAGCCGGAGCGTGGTTAAGTTAGTACAAGTGTACATTGGCTCTCAGAAACTTGGGCAAGGCTAGATAGAGCTTGGATGTCCTGTCAGCAAGTCGTCTCCACTATCAAGGCCGGCCGGGGCAGAACACTACTCGTCCTAAGTTTCTCACCGTCGGTTGCAGTGAACAATGGATCTCGGTGTTATAACTGAGGCCACGTAGTAGGTAAGATCATTGACTTTGGCGTTAGACGCGGCGGTGCTCCACTTGAAGCTAAGCACGATTCACACGAGTAGGGAGGCACGTACGCAGGTTTTTTCAATTTTCATATCGAGGAAGCCATCACGAACGTACGTGGCCATGAGCCCATGGCATGGCATGACAGCTAAGTAAGTAACATTGGTCGAAGACAAAGTCTGTGAGTATTAACGAGTACATACACATATTCTGGTTCGTTAAGTTGGATCGTCTCGCGGGAAAAGCCATGCAACAATGTGCTACTAGAACGAACGGCGTGCATTCTCTGCTTATTTGCTCGCCGAGTTGACTCTCAGCAGTAGTTTTGCCTTCCCCCTCTCTTGGGCCGTGTTGCACATCAATGCGCTCAAGTGTTTCAACAGGCCTCCCACTAATATATGGAATACAAGGTGTTCCAGCTCAAAAGTATGTTGTCGCGATCTGTGTACATGCACAAGTTTGAACAAGGTAAGCAAAAAGGAAAACGGAAAAGATGTGAGCAAGTCGTGGTCCTCAAAACAAGTTTCTAAAGGACGGTTTTGGACAAATGAGTCTTGGGGTCCGGCCTTTTTGATAGAAAGTGATTGAATGGTCCTCAACTTTCTTTTCGAGAGGGCCAATACCTCATATAAAAATTGTCCGAGCATTACAAAAACAAAATTTTAAACACGGGGTATGTCGATGTTGTCTTCCCCTGCACTTTGCGGCAGCGCACCGTGTGCAAAGCTCTATGTCATCTCTGGATCTCCAGAACACCCTCAAAGTGAGTGTAACGTCGTTGACACAAAGGCCGGAGACTCGTTTTTTTTTTTGAAGGGAAGGCTAGCTTTATTATTTTCAAACCAAAATTACATCCAATGCTAGAGGTCTTAAAATAAAATCTGGAGGTACTTCTACCCAAAGATGAGGATTATTAGAACTCCCCCATCTAGCAAGCTCCTGTGCTACTACATTTGAATCCCTATTACAATGTTCAATCATAGCCTTCCCAAAATCTCTCAGTAACTCTCGACAATCTGCAAGGATAGGAGCCGCCATCATGGAATGGCCTTCATTGTTTGGCAGAGCTTCCACCACAATCAGATTGTCCATCCGGATAACAGCATTATTGCACAGTTTACTTCCAAAAGTGCCGCAGCCGCCTCGATAAAGTTTCCCCGATTATCGCGGATAACAGCACCACATGCCCCGGTATAGTCAATATCCGAAAAGGATGCATCGACATTCAGGATCAGCTCTCCCGCTAAACAAGGTATCCATTTGTTAGTTCGCTGGGGCTGTGTCACCTTACCTCGAGCCCGAACGAAATTCAGAGTTAGAGCATGCAAAGATAGAGCCGTACGTTCAGGATTTTGTACCGGCTCCCCTCGAACCAGCTGCCTTCTCTGCCACCATATAAGCCAGCATGCCGTCGCTAGTAGTTCAGGGAGTTCCACTGGTTCCATGAAGGAGCGCTGGAAGGATTTGTCACATAGGAAAAATTCAATCACCGTGGAGCCAGCTCGGTCAACCAAGACTGCATCCGCAACTTCTTTCCCTACTCTGACAATTTGACAAAGCGCAATTGGACCGTTTCAACGAGATGTAGTTTTTGTGATCGCGACGAGACCATCAAACACCTCTTTCTCGATTGTCCTATGGCAAAAGTTCTGCGGCGGACTGTTCACATTGCTTTCAATATTACTCCTCCAAATAGTATCAACACGTTATTTGGGATGTGGCTGGATGGGATAGAGACCCAAACAGCAAGACGCATTCGTGTAGGAGTTTGTGCTTTACTTTGGGCAGTCTGGAACTGCAGAATGGTTTTTAACAGAACAACAAATACTCATTTTTTGTAGGTTATCTTCCGAGCTACTTCGTTGATCCGTATGTGGTCGCTACTCACTCAGACGGAGGCCAGGGAGCATTTGGTTACTGGATCTACCCGATGAAAGATGGTAGCTCGGGCTATATTCAGCCGGTTTGGATGGCGGTCATGTAATATGATAGGCAATTAGTTTTCCTATCTTTTTTATGCATGCCGGCTGTGGCTTTATTTTTGCACTCTGTGTGAGCTAGTTGTTCGATACTTTGTAACGGATTACATGACCTTTTGAACCATTTGGGCTTTTTAATAAAGGTGGCCGTATGCATCAGTCTGATGCAGAGGCCGGGGCTGCGTCCCTTTTCTAAAAAAAAAGATAGATTTTGCACGTGGACATTTAAATAGTGCATGCATAATATCTTCGGCTCCACCTGAACATATTGGGCACTGAGAGTTGTTTCCAATGTGGCGTTGTGCAAGCAGCGCCACAAAAAGATTTTTATCTTCCCTGGTAGTTTGAGGTTCCACAATCTCTTCCACACTGGATGCAAAGAAGATCCACCATACCCAGCCGAACCTGGGACAGCAGCATAGGTATCTTCCCGCTATTTGTAATATGCTGACCGAACGGAAAATATGCCATTCTTTGTCAATTGCCAAGCAACTTCTGTCTCTTGGTGGTGTACAGGGATCTGAAGAATACGATCAACATCTATATGCTAGAAGTTTTCTCGAATAAGATCTTCATCCCATTCCCTTGAGGAGGGGTCAATCAATTCATTCACCCTTGGAAGTACTCGGTTCCCACGCACTTTTACAATCTTCCTTGATGAACTGTTTGGAATCCAACAATCATCTCAAATATCAATCTTCTCTCCGTTACCAACTCTCCAGATGCCACCCTTTTTAAAAGTTTGGATTCCTGCCCATATACTTTGCCACACATATGAAGATCCCTTCTTCAGCTCACAGTTCAATATATCTCATGTAGGGTAGTATCGTGATCTCAACACTCTAGCACAGACAGTCATAATTGTCAATGAGCCTCCAACATTGCTTTGCAAGCATAGCTAAGTTGAAACTGTGAATATCACGGAAGCCCATCCCACCTCTATCTTTAGGGACACACATCTTCCGCCATGCAAACCAATGCATCCGGCGCTGGTTTTCGTCATCACCCCACCAATATTTCGACATTGCATCAGTGATCCCCTTACAATTTTTTTCAAGAATTTGAAAACACTCATCGCATATGTTGGGATAGCTTGGGCCATCGCTTTTAGTAAGGCTTCTTTACCTCCATAAGATAGAGTTCTTTCCTTCCAACCATTGACCAAGATCCGAATTCTCTCAATAAGATGTTTAAAGCAGTCCACCCGGTCCACCCCAATCATAGATGGGAGTCCCAAGTATTTGTCCGAGAGGGATTCAATCATAATATTCAAAACCTGACATATCTCTGCCTTCACTTCAACACTAGTATTCGGACTGAAAAAAATTGAGCATTTAGCTTCACTCACCATTTGACCTGATGCAGTCGAATACTCATCTAGAATTGTTCTCAACGTATTAGCGTTTGTCACATCTGCTCTCATCAAAATTAGAGAATCGTCAGCGAACAATAAGTGTGAAATTTTCGGGGAGTCTCGACACACCTGTGCACCAACGAGATTCCCTATTGTTTCCTCATGGGCAATTGGAAGAAAATTTCGTGGACACCGGCTGCAAAGTCCATCCGGTGCGTACCCATGCCAGGATTTGTCCACGTGTCCCCTCCTTACATCCGACCGCCGCCGCTCGTTCCCATCCGATCGGTGCTTCCCTCGGCTCGGGAGCGCTCGCTCGGCTCCAAACGCGTGCGATGACGGCTCGCTCACGAGGCAAGGCCGGCTGAGGCGGAGGCCCACACCGGTCCTTTCGTCTCGCAGCCTCGGCGTCTTTCGTGCGCGGCCGCCGCCGCCGCCGGCGGCCAATCCTCCCCCTGGTCCGCCATGGAGGGCACGGTGTGCCCAATCCAGGGTTATCCCGTCTCCGGTGCCGGCCTCTCACTCCACCACGCGCACCTCCATCTCGCCCAGAACTGGTGACCCCCCTCCCTGGCAAGTCTGAAAGTTTGTGTTTCCTTCAGGCTGTTAGCATGCAATTGGCTCCTTCAGATAAGATGTTTGATTTGCTAATCGTACATGACTACACGTTAATTAAATATTTTGATTAAACTGAGCACGAACGAAGTGCAACCTGGCAAGATCGTATTTGATCGCATCGTTTGATTCACTCAGTCGAGCTACAAAATCAATTACATCACTAGTTTCACAGTAAAGAAAGTGTAGTTTCAGACTGAAGAGTGTTTAGT